GTTGAAACAAACTTGAAAAGAATGAATCATAACTTGTAACTGAGCAAATATGGCAGATGTTTGTTTTTTTATGACAGTCACTATATCCTAAGTAGTTATTTTAAGTTACCGACTAACTTTAATGCTTCATCTTCAGGGTTTTTTGTGACGTATAAAACAAAATTCTGAAGATGAAATCAAAGATGAATTGTAATTGTGGAGACTGAAATGTGAATGGCTTCCAAAATCTACGTTGATGAGCTGCCTCCTTAATCTCCCTCCTGCATCGGCCGTCATCTCCACCATGTATTGTGGAAAGTAGCTGACGATGGCTTCTACCTGAAACATAATTAATGAGGAGAACCTTTATTTGTGAGTGCTGGGTTATTGTTTCTATTCATCTTCACCATGAAATCGCAGACATTCCCCCCCCACAGGGCTGAAGATGGGAACTAAATATCCTCTGCTCTTATGTACAGTTTTCAGCTGTAATGTCATCAAACTAAACCAAAATAGATTTTATTTCACTTCATACAGTGCTCAGAAATAGCAGGCATTTCACCCCAGTACTCTCAACAGTACTCTCGTTTCTTGTAATAGTCTTAGCAGAGAATCTGCTCAGCAAACCACACATCTGTGAGAAACACAGCTCAAGTATTTTCAGAAATGAATAAAAGGATGACGTGTTGAGAGACACCCGTGTATTTAAAACTTGTGCCGTGTCATGCCAGTCTTTTAAGAAGATCTTACCCATTCATAGCTGATGGCTGTAATGTGGTTTGAATCTGTTTTTGCTCATTTGTTTTTCAGGATTTTGTCACAAGAGCTAAACTGGGAGTTCAGCATATGGTGCAGAAAGTGGGATTTTTTGGGATCTTGGCTTGTGCCTCGGTAAGTTCTTTATAATGTAACGGCAAGTTTTATGCATGTGTGATTAAAGATTAATGTCTTTCCTCATTTCAATAACCTGTAACAAGGGTAACTTATACATTAATATGTGATTTCTGTGTGTGTTTCAGATCCCTAATCCTCTCTTCGACCTAGCTGGAATAACCTGCGGTCATTTCATGGTTCCCTTCTGGACCTTCTTTGGAGCGACTCTAATTGGGAAAGCCATCATCAAGATGCATATACAGGTCGGTAGCTCAACTAAAAGCTTTTTTTATCAGAGGAGGTTATACACGAGCAAAGGACAAGTTCACATCAAATCACACCAGGTTTTTCCATTTTAACATAAAGAAAACCATACAGGCACACTTAGCTTCAGATATGACTCATCTTTTGTTTCATGTCATCACAATTGCCTATCCACATAATGTAATAAAGCATGTAAAAAAAAAAAAGGGGGGGGGGGGTATGCACTGCTGACTGATTCACAACCTCAAAACGTGTGGGAGAACTGAGATCAAACCTCCAGCTTAGATCACGGGTTGGTGGCTGTGAGAAACTCCTAATTGTGCACTTTTGGTTAACTCTTTCTGACTCTGGGCCTTTTGGGGATTCCTTATTCTAGCTTTAGCTTTGGGATTGATCCAGAACGTATAAACAGGCTCCAGATGAAAGGAAGGAAGCTTTTAAGAAGTCTTAAACAAGAGTTTGGATTAAATAAAACTCCACTAGATCAAAAAAACCCTGTTAATTATGGGTCGATTGTTGAGTCTGCCACACCAGTGACTAATATAAGCCGATACAAAGGGAGTCTGTCTGCGGGTGAGTCGCTGAGTGTCTTAACAAACTGAGCCGATCCATCTCATGGTGGTACCAGTCAGTGATCTCACTCTGAGGCCTTCCAGACAAAGGTTGTGGAGGATGTCGAGTGGACATGAGAAGCTAGACATGAGAGGAGGAAGTTAAAGAGCCGGTATGAAGCTGCGGGGGGGGGGGTCTCTTTGTATTATTTTCCTTTTTTTGGTACCTTGAGCCTCTTGGGCATCACGTGTCATGTCCTGTCTGATTTTGTCCAGGGGTCCATGTGTCATGCTGTTTTAAAGCTGATCAGTTTCAGGACCGGAGAAAGACCCCCCCCCACCCCCACACACACACACACACACACACACACACACTTTGGCGCTTTGCGAAAACCACACAAAGCCCCCCGCAGCCCAGAATTTAGCTTACTGCCGGGTTTGGGTTTTGTAATTAGTGTGTCTGTGGACTGTGGCAGATGTGGCCTCAATTTCCCACAGCTGTGCCGCTAAAATAGAAAATCTAAAGATGTTTTATCCGTCAATATATTTCTGTTTGTCACGTGTGTTTCTCAGAGACACTTTGTTGTTTTGTCCCATGTCTTGTAAAACACCACTTTACATAAACGTCTATCATTTTATGTCGGGGAGGTTTTCTGTGTTGTATTCCTCTGCATATTATCAGAAAGTAATTGTTTTTAACGCTTATTAATCTCTCGTTTTCTTACAGAAACTATTTGTTATCATCACCTTCAGCAAGCACATAGTGGAGCAAATGGTGTCTCTCATTGGGTAAGTGTGTGTGTGTGTGTGCGTGTGTGTGTGTGTGTGTGTAAGACAATCGGGTAGTTTGTGGAGTCATTGTCTTCACCTGGTTTTGTGGACCGCAATGCATTTTTAAACATTTTCAGATGCATTTTGACCACTGATTGGAGATCCTGTATGAATGAATGCTTTCACTGCGGGGGTGTACGTGCATGCATTTAGCATTTTTCCACAGAAAAGGTATTACCCCCTCCACACACGCATGCGGTCCATCTCTGCAGCACTGGTGGTCAGGCATGTGAGGTCCCATCTGAGCATGTTGATCTGACTCACCAAGTTCAGCTTTCACTCAGATATTTGCCCCAGCGAGGCGGGAAACGCAATCATAGACCATAGATGGAAAAAAACCTTCTGTTGAACTAGTTTAAGGAATTAAAGGTAGCGGTAATGTCCTAATTGTTAGCTTTAACGTAGCACTTTGGGTGCTAAAATGTAGCATTCACAGTAAAAGAAAAAGATACTAATTAGTAATCATTGTAGGTCAAGTAATGAATTATCAGTAGGCCAAATAAAAGCCAGTAAAGAGTTTAGTCAGACTTAATGTTAAGTTCATGACAGACTAGATCAAATAAAAAATGAGCAGTTAGTGATCTTAATCTAATGTAATCTTTAATGTACGTCCAGGAAGTAGCTTTGACCTGAATCTATGGTCATAGCCGAGTGTTCTGTGTCTTTTTGATTGAAAAATGAAATTCAAGGTTCATTTCCCATGAAGTTCAGACGGTGACTCGCCATGAGAGCTTCAGTACTGATACAGGGTGTTTTTTGTGTGTGCTTGCATGCTAAGTGGAAGAGATGGCAAGAAAGATGAATGAGTAAAACTAGTTGGGTTTGTTTGAAATGAGCAATTACCCACTTCCCTTTAGCTATTAGTTGTTTAGTAAATGATCCAAAAACATGTTTATGTCTCAAGTTGGGACAGAATTGAATGAATGCAGTGGGAAGTCTATATAGAAAAGAGATCCCTTTCAACTGTACCACTGCTGACCAACATGTGGAACTATAACTCCATTGCTTCTCTATGACATGAATTGATGAGCTGGTATCCATTATGATTGGCCCCCTGGTGAGCTAATCCACATTACCAAATAAGGACATGAGCACGCCCTGATTGGATATCATTCCACAAGAAGGCAGCAAATGGTGGTAAAGGTGATGACATCATGTCGACTCACTTCCTGATTTAAGGGGCTGACACGGTCTCCTATAGAGCGCTGAGGAGTATAAGAGGAGGGCTGAAGGGCTTCTACTTCATTCCTCTCTGCTGTCTGCTCCTGCTCACAGTAGGTGGCGGCTCCAGGATGGGCCCCTCATGTAGGACGGGGCCTCCAGCAGCTGTTACAAAGGATGCTGGTTGAGGACCTTTTGGTAGTGTTCAGGGAAAGAGAAGACTTCAGGCTCTTATAGTGAACAAGTGTTCAGTTTTTTTGTGTCCTTGTCAAAGGAAGGGTGCTTTAAAGGGTAAGTGAACTAATGTTCTTCCTCCCCGTCTCTTGTGTCTCTGTGTGCATGTATGCGCTGTGTCAGGTCTGTGCCCAGAGTGGGACCATCACTCCAGAAGCCCTTCAGTCAGTACCTGGACGCACAGAGGAACAAGCTGCACCATGCTGGAGGAAGTGCATCAGCGGTAAGAGCAATACTAGTGGTAATATTTGACCACACACCACTTTAGAATGATGACTTCATGGAAAATATAAACAGAGTTGGGAGCTTGTTTTAATAAAGCCCAACAAATTTGAGGCCAATATTTATATTTTGGAGTGTTAAAAAAAAAGCTTATTTTTTTCTCGTAATTGCAAAACAATGTTTTTAAACATCCTTAAATTTAGTTATTACCAAAGTGTGACTGTAATTATCAGTGCTCTCTGGTGGACAAATGATGTAACTAAGAATTTTTTTTTAATGACCTCAAACATATCTTTACCATTTCTGTACTGCAATTTTTTTTTAGTTATCGACCAACGTATGCGTTGATACTTGTATATTTGCGAGCTGTAGTTTTTAGTTTGAGTCTTTGGCTGCTAGAGAACACGCACTCCATGGGTTACATGGATATTCGCAATATTTTTGCCCCATGAACTGTAATATTACAATATGCTTTTTTTTATGATGGTAACTGATGGCATACGCACTCCCAATTTCTTGGGTTTCCAGGATGAGAACTGGCTGTCGTGGGTGTTTGAGAAGGTGGTGCTGGTCATGGTCTGCTACTTTGTCACTTCCATCATCAACTCCACGGCTCAGAGCTACGCCAAGCGCCTGCAGCAGCAGAGGCACTCAGAGGGGAAGACCAAGTGATGGCGAGACGGAAGCGGTTCAAAAACATCCAAGTGACTGTTTCTGCTGCTGCTGCTGAGAGAACCTCCGCTCAGCCACGGCCACTTACGAATTAACAACAAACCTCACCCCCCCCCCCCAATCCATTCTCAGAGGCCGACCACTCAAAAAACCAGGCACTATTTGTTGGCGTGTGTGTGCGAGCGCTTTTGAGGATGTATGTGCTGTTTGGCGTTTGTCCCTCTTCAGGTTTTGTAGTTCTTCCTCTCATCTCACTCTCTAGGTGTGTAGTGCGATTGGTTTTATTGCTGATCTTAACGTGTTACTTTCTGTTAAATTAACCCATTCGTTGACCTCAGATGTACAGCAGCAGTTGGGTGGTGACTGCTGTGTAGGTGCAGTGCCCATCAGACGCTATGCCTTATGCAAGACCGGGAGGTCTCACTTCCCTTGAATATAGTTTGACTTAACTTGATTTTTATTTAATTTTGTAACATTTATGTACGGATGGATCTTGACTTGTTTGTACAGTGCGCTGCCAAGATAACTGCTGTGGATGGTCTTTCTTTTCAGGGTTTAATTGTCCTGTTTTTTGTCCCGTTTAAGACCAAATTTGTCTCTTTTTTTTGGTCTCTGGATTTGTCAGTTTAAAATAGTGAAGAAAAAAAAAAAGAAGCAATATCAACTTAAGAGTGTGGTATTGATGGTTTGCACATTGTGTAAATATCTTAATATCTTTTTGACAGTATGCACAGATGTATTTCTATTCTAATGGTCTGTGTGGACATGAGTTAACTTGAACCAAAACAAAAAAGAAAAGGTGATATCATTTGTAAAGTGACATTATACTCTCGGCTAACTAGACCCATTTCTATTCTGTACATTTAGGTTGAACCTTGGATCAGATCATATATAAAACATGTAAATCATAGCACTGGTTTCCAAGTTGACTCTTTTGTTTCACATTCTTTGAGTTGAAGATTAACTTTTAAATGTTCATCCTCATACGCTGTGAGATATTGTGACGTTTAAAAACTGTTGTAAAGTTTCTTTAAATCCTCGTGACGGAGCTAATGGTTGGTTTTCTCTGAGAAATGATCCTCTTTAAGGTAAGTGAACAGTTCAGCACCATCAGTTAATAGTTCTCTTTGTATCAGACTCTTCATGTCGGGGTGAAGTCCGGCCTGAAACGGACTCTGCAGATTCTGGTCCACTTGTGGGCTTGTGGACCCCGCTTCTACATTCTCATGAACATCCTTGACTCAACTTTCCCATCCCGTCAGCTAGCTTATCAGACTGGTGTTGGCTGTTAAACTAGCACGGCAACAGCAGTCTGTAAGCTGGCTGAAGTTCTGGGCCTTCAGCATTTCGTTTCTGCCGCTTGGCTCGTGTCAGAACTGCACTTCAGCCGTGTCGATCTGCCCACATCTGGAAATACTGTGATGGGGAAAAAAAATGAACAATAAAGTGATGAAAAGTATGTTAACTGCTCTTGTTACGTTTCTTTGTTTCCCAATAATTGCTGAACATTCACATTTTCTAACTAGAATAGCTCCGTAGCTGTTCGGGAGCTTTTGATTACAACACATGGTCTTCCTCAGCAGATGGAGACACTGCGTTGTCATGGAAGTGTAGAAGTTGACATTTTTCTGAAAGCTTTTAAAGGCTGAAAGCAGCATTTGATAAAATGATCTAATCCCAAAGTCCATAACTAATTAAATGTAATAAAATAGTTCCAACAAGAGGAACTGAATGTGTCCCAATGATACTTTTGGTGGAAAGAAATGGTCAAAAGTCAAGGAATCAGTTTCTTTCAGTGAACCAAGTAAAGAATGTTTTTTATGTACATGTTTTAAAAAGAAGCAGCAATGTCCCACGTCATGGTATTCTGTTTGGTACGTACAGTCCAATGGGCAGAGGTGGTGCTTGTTAGTTTTCTCCATTTCTAGTGCAGATGTTTGTAGCTGGAGATGACTTGCTCAATAGATGTGAAGCTGTCTAGAAAGTCCTCCTCTGAGATCCCAAACTTAATGTACTGGTGGATGTAGGCCCTTTAACAGAGGAAATAAAACGTTAAGAAACATTTCCTAAAAGCGACATTTAAGCTTTTTTTTTTTTCCCCTGAGTAACGGGGCTGACTCACCTGGACGCAAACATGTTCCAGGCTTTTCCCACCATGTTGTCCAGAGGTCTGACCAGAGCCTGGCTGTTGCTGACCAGCGTGGCACATTTTTCATACTTATTAAAAGGCACTGGGGATTTCCACGAGTTGAAAGCTTCTTCTGATGCGAGCCAGGAGGTGTACAGGGCCGGGTCCTCGAAGCCACCTGTGGACGGTACACAGTTTACATCTCATGCATAGCGCCACATCGTTCCAAAATGTCATCATATCCCTCATGACTTGTGGATTAATCAGGTAAAATAAATACATTTCAACCAGACCTGTCTCTGCGCTGTAAACGTCTTTCCCTCTCAGTATGAGCAGGTTGGCCAGAGAGCGGTTGAAGCTGGATCCTGTGAGACTCCTGGTCCGCTCAGAAGCTGCAGATGGACGCACCTGCCAGTCTATACCTGAGACGGGACGAAAAACAGCGATCCTCAGAAGTGTTCAACGGATTACACTCACTTTCAAGCCATATAATGCCTCAATAAACGAATCTGAAACTGAACTACGAGGTTAAATTTGATAGAACTTGCCTTCCTCCATCTTGGTGTTGGAGATGAGCATCTGTCGTAGGTGTTTGAGCATGCTCGGCCAGCTGAACGTGCTGTAGGCCATGGAGGAACTAGGCATCTGAGGGATGGTGCACACACTGAGGAGCTTGTACTCCGGGTGGCACGCGAGGGCACTCACCAACTCACCTGAGAGACGACAAAGAGTAAAGTCCACATTAGGGGTGAGACGTGCCGGCTCATGAGGACGGCACAGGGTACAACATTCCCTGTGTAGACTCCGCCTCTCCATCCAGGCCCTGTGTGTCTCGGCATGGCTCACCCAGAGGATTTCTGCCGTAGACTCCGTGGGAGTCGGCGGTGAGCGCGGGCTGCAGGATGCTGCCCAGCTGGTGAGCGATCACCTTGTTGACATCACCGAAGGAGATGTGTTTGATGTTGAGCAGCTGACCGCAGATCCTGTGCACCGTGTCGTTCTCGTGCACCAGGATGGCATCGGACAGCTGGTAGAGGTGAGCCAGCGTCAGCACAGAGTTGTAGTTCTGGACAATCACCTGAGAGGACAGGTGAAAGATTTTAACAGCACATTATTCTAATATTAAAGACTAAACACTCGGTAGCCGTCTCCGTTACCTCCCCGGTCCCGTATGGCCAGGTGAGATGGTTGAGGATGAAGGTTTTGGGGTAGATGTCTCGGAGACACTGAGTAACGTAAGTACCAACGCCGGACCCCGTTCCCCCCGCCACACTCATCATGGCCATGAGTCCGGCCAACCTGTCACAGCGCTCCACCTCTCGCCTCACCAGCTGCTCCACCACGTCTCTGTGACGAGGCCCGTGGACACGGTACCTGGTGGGACACAAGAAGCACATTATCAGCTTTTCCCACACAGGAGGACTGCGTTCCTGTGTTTGTGTTGTCTGTAAAAAAAAAATTACATTTTGCTTGTTTCTAAAGCATGAAACAGTCCTAACTCAAACTCCGCTTACTAGCTTCTTATTGTCAAACTGCCATTTTTAAAAAGGTCTAGAATGAACTTTGATGCTTCATTTCACAGCTGAAACAATTAATTGATCAGTTAGCGGATCAACAAAAAATGAACGAGCAAATGTTTGGATAATCAATCGTTTGAGTAAAATTTTCAAGCAAAAACTTCTCAATTGTGATAATTTGATGCTTTTCTTTGTAATAAATTATACTAAACGGACACGACTTCGGCTCTGACAGAATATAAGGGGCATTGTTGACAACAGTTACAAGACATAAGAGAAAAATCATCTGCAAATTAACCCATAATGAGTCATATTTAACTTATAAATCATAACAGTTTTAATGTTTTGCTTTGTAATATTCATACTACTATAACAAAAACAGCGTTATTTGCATTTACCAGATTATTAGTTTGTACATATTTGACAGTAAAAGGTGAAATGGCCTTACCCATTAGCCCAGTTGTTCCCAGAGCCCTGCTTCTGGCTGAAGTGGGAAGACTCTCCATACCTCCACATGCCACACTTTGCAGCCCTGCTCATACTCTGGTTGATCACTTTGGGCTCCATGTCAATCAGCACCGCCCTGGCTACGAGCTCTGGTTTGTAGACAGGGAGACATGACAGTTAAACACGTGTGTTTATTATTTATTTAGACGCTTATTTCACCCACTAAAGGAGGACATAGATCAGGTGTTTACCTCCACGTGAGGTTTGGTGGAAGAATCGCTCGCAGCCCGCTGTGCTGTACACTTTCCTCTGTCCCTCCAGTGCATCGCTGCAGAGGACGTCAAACAGCTCGTGGCCCACCTGGTTGCCGCACTGACCGAGCTGAACTGTTACGATGGACATGTTCTCTGGAGACTCTCCAGGAGGATCGATAGTTTCCCCGATCAGAGTATCGGAACATACAGCCTGAAAGGTTTCATGACTGAGTCCACGGAGCTGTCAGCATCTTTGTTGTTTAAAAGCGGCGCACGTCCTGTCGTCATCCGCCACGCCACGAGAAGTTAAAATGGCGTTTCCGGCCCGAAATGTCAACACTTTCAAAATAAAGCTCCTATGCATATGTGATGAGATCTGATTTAAGTAATATGATGTAATGTACATTGGGTATTATTATATTATTATATTGTTATATTATTATATTATTGTATTCTTATAATAGGGGTTTATAAGTAATGGTAATTTATTATGTTACTGGGGTGTTTGTGATTAGAATAGAAATTGAATGAGAATGACAAAAACATTTCAACAACATAGTTTCTTCAACGTGGACTGAATTGTTTCAAGCATAAAACATATCACTATTTAGCAGCGGAGAATGTTCATGTTTAAAATTAACCTGTCTATTTTAGGTGTGACCAGATACCCTAATAGTACAGTCAGAAAAGGCTTGTTATGAATGTCAATGGAAAGATCTGAGGTTTATTTAGTCTTTCATTTGAATTTGTAGTGAATACACTGATGTTGGTTTATGACCAAAAATAAAAGCGAGTCATACAGGGCACCGCCCCTTTTGTCGGGTGTTGCAATGCGCATGCTCAGTGTAGTAGCCGGTTATGGCGGCGGTGTGTGTTTGTCCATGAGGTGTGGAGACGCCTGCTATTCTTGCGGTCTGTGACGGAGCGATCCGAGCGAAGCGCTGCCATGGCCGGAATGTTTGACATTGATTTGGACCAGCCGGAGGAAAACGTCTCCGACGATGATGAGAACGAGGAGGTACTTTCATGGAGGATGTTGAGACGTGACTGCGAGAGTTGTCACGGCAGAAATTCTCCACGCACAGTAGCTAGCTGTTAGCCTGTTAGCCTGCTAGCCTGCCACAGGCCCTGCTCCTGCAGCCGGCGCTCTCAGGCCTAACAGGGTTAGCAGAGGCTAATGCTAGCTCGCCACCGTTAGCCTGACAGCGAGCTGTCACTCGTTCTGTTTCTATTCTACCAGTAGCGATAGCTCAGCGGTGAGCTGCATGTGTTTTTAACCCCGTCTCGTTTAAATAGAACCGTCGCTGTCATGTTAAGAGTTGTGCAAGCAGAGCCTTACTTGGCCAAAGGTGCTGCAGTGATAAATGTGGCTCGGTGTGCAACAGTTTATTTTGGCAAGACTGCTACAGAGTGACTGTGTGGACATAGAGCTGGTGTCTGTGTGTTTCTATTCACACCGAGCCTGAAATACAGCAGCACAACAACTGACTGTACACCTAATTTAATACAGCAACTACATTAAACTGGTTTTACAAATTATTATTATTAAATTACGTGTAAATACTGATTGATGCAATAGTCAATCTTGTATATTATTACTGCAAAACCATGATCACATGCAGTTAAAGTAGTAGAACAGTCATTGAATAGGCGATAGTAACTATATGCACACACATCAGGTGTTAAGTTAAACCATTTTTGCTTATTATTTTATCTATATAGCACGAATTGGGAAACTGTTACTTCACAGCAGCTCTTGTTTGTCAGTGTCACATCACAGCTCCTGTTTTAATGTGAAGCCAAACACTTTTATAAACTGTCAGATAAGACAAGGAAATGCCCTTTGAAAATGCTTGATTCTATTTTTAAGTCGTTGTCTTTTTTGTAGCTATTTATTTGCATCGCATGACAAGTATTGTAAATGCTGTACCATCATAGTAATAAAACAGACATAAAGCGTTAAATCACACGGGGAAAAAATGAAATACAGAAATGTCTTGATGAGATCAAAGGCTCCCTATAAGAAATGAAAAACCGAAGAAAGAAAGTCACTCAATCAAACTGTGATTTCGAGCACTGCTCATGTTTTCTCCATTGGAGTCCATCCTCTTCCTCGTGAGAACAGAAAAGCAGAATGACTTTTGTGTTTATGTCGTGTTTTCTATTTTTCCTTGCAGGTTCAAATCGGTGACATCATGGACCAGTGCAGTGGATTTGAGTTGTAAGTTTTCACTATGTCCTTTCGTGCTTATGTTCATGTATGTATGTTTTGTTCTTTTTTTTGCATTTGAATCAGTGCAAAAACAAGAACTCAATGCATTGAATGTGTCTCTGCAGCAACATGGACGACTGTGAGAAGATTGAGATATCGGAGGACAACGTCAACCAGGGGACGGAGAACATCAGACCCGAGTGCTTTGAGCTGCTGCGGGTCCTGGGGAAAGGTGGTTATGGAAAGGTACCCAAGAAGCATGAAGCCTTGAGAAAGTACAGTTAACACGCACACACGCCTACAAATGCACACGTTGGATTATTGTCCCTCTAGAATGCAAAGGACTGAGTTGTATTGACTCGAAAGTGTTCTATCTTAAACATGTTAATCATTTCCCCTTTTGTGCAGGTCTTTCAAGTTCGAAAAGTTGTTGGAGCTGCATCAGGCAAAATATTTGCCATGAAAGTTTTAAAAAAGGTACATTTTTCTGCTTAAATATCTATAATTAGAGCAATGTCTCTCAGTTTGTAATCCTGTGAACGCAATTGCATGCTTGTTTTTACAAATAAACATATTGCTTCCGTCTGCAAATATTGGCTGTCCTTGAAGCCAGTGGTGGGGTAGGATTTCACTGCTCGTTGGTAGACTGCCATCTGCGCTGCTGCAGCCTTGGCACTTAAAAACGCTCTGCCTCAGCCCGTTAGATTCCGCTTGATGTTCACGCCGCTTCTGCTTGATTGGCTAAAATGACCCCAGTGACACATTGAAGACCTGCCAGATTTCAACCGGTCGTTTTCAATCGTTCAGCTTCAAAGTGGCAGGCGGGCCTGTAGTTTTTGGGTTAGAGCACAGGGCCCGTATTTATGAAGCATCTCAGAGTAAGATATCAGTCATGACTTGCCCAAAATTGTCAGTGACACACATGCAGTGGTGCGTTTAGGCTTTTCCAGGTTTCAGGAGAGCTGCAGAACTGTCCCAACTGGTTCAGAGTTCTCAGATAGCAACAGGACAGATGGCAACATACACTCCAGCTCGTGTACACAGTCACAATGTGCAACATTTGATGTAGAATAACGAGATTTTTCAGACTGAATTGGAAAAATAAAAAAATCACATTTTCAATATAATCCTACTGCAGAAAAAGTTACATGTTATTGCAATTTACACTGAATTCAAAACTAAAGTATAGCTACAACAGCAACGATGTAGAACGTTATAGCTATGGCTGCTATTGTTCCACCTCTAAATGTAATTATATACTAACGTGTAATTTATGTATCATGTTTATTTTCAGATGAAATATATTTGTAGTCTTTTTGTGAACGAAACTATCTTGTAATACAAGTAGCATAATGCTGTATGCGGTCATTAATTTAGATTTTCCTGCGTCACGATATTTCTAATTCAGTCTGATTTGAATCTGTTGATTGCACATCGAACCACAGAGAATGATGAATAAGTGGCATATACCAATTATGTCATTTACTCTTAAATGAGAACTTCGATTCCTTGCTGTGCGTGTGTAGCAAGGCTCGTAAATAACTAAAGTCCTACTCCGAGGTTGAGTCACAGTGATTCTTAGTTGCTTGATAAAAATGGGCCCAGATTACAGGAAGTAATATCCCATAGCGTAGTAGAGCAGTTAGTGGATGACGGTTAGTTACTTTTGGTAGTCCTGTAAAGGGAACAAAGGCCCACTTAGCGAGCCGGAAAGGGCTTAAAATTCAGTAAACAATGCACGATTCCTAATCGGTCTCAACAAAAAAGTGAATTGCAAAGACATTTTAAAGTATCTCAGTCAGCAAGCTCGTACTGCAACATTTCAAATCAACGGGCGCGTCGCAGCCTCGGTTGTGGTAGTTGTGACACTCGAAGCTGAAACAACATTGCTGCCGACAGGCGGCTCTTTAGCTTTCTGACAGAAGTGGTTAGCAAACACAAACTTGAGGAAGAGTGTGGAGAGCTGGAGGAACAGAAGACACTGTACATATACATCCACAGTAGTGCTCGGACTATTGCCGTCATCGTTCTTCCATAGAACAAAAGCAGCTCATAAGTCGGCGATAAACAGACTGTTGGCAGGACATATTTGTCGTTCAGTGCTATTCACATCTGCATGGATGAAAAGATGGCCATTGTTTCACCGTTCCGTCTGCCTCTGGAGTTGACTAATGTTGGTGAACTTCTTCGGGTTCGGGGGCACAAGGCTATGATTGTACGCAACGCCAAGGACACGGCCCACACGAAGGCAGAGAGGAACATCCTGGAGGAGGTGAAGCATCCCTTCATAGTTGATCTCATCTACGCCTTCCAGACCGGAGGGAAGCTGTACCTCATCCTGGAGTACCTGAGCGGTCAGTACGAGAAATACACACACACCTGGTACACAACACACACTCTAAAGGAAGATCAATGCATATTACGCAAGTGAGAAATCACTTCCTCCTGGCTGCGACCTAACCTGTGGAGGCGGGAGGGATGTATGTACGTGTTGACAGCATAAAAATGTGTTCACCTGCGCAGGAGGAGAACTGTTCATGCAGCTGGAGAGGGAGGGCATCTTCATGGAAGACACAGCCTGGTGAGTGTTTTTATTGAATAGGGACGGACAGATATCTCAGCAGACTATCGGTTTATTTTCTTTGTATTTCTCTGTAGTTTCTACCTGGCTGAGATCTCCATGGCTCTGGGCCACCTGCACCAGAAGGGCATCATCTACAGAGACCTGAAGCCAGAGAACATCATGCTCAACAACCACGGTGCGTGTGTGCGTGTGTGTGTGTGCGCGCGTGCGTGTACATGTGATGAAATTAACTCAAACCTTCCTACATGATTTATCCAAAGAAGATGTCTTACATTTCTTGTATTTTGTATTTATTTCTTTGTATTTGTCCCTAAACATCACGATCCATATGCACAAATATCATGCCACAGAAATGACAGTAAATAAAGACCATGTTGGCAATTTAATAATTATCAACAATTGCATCTGAATATGTGTTGTTTTTCCTTCCAGGGCATGTGAAGTTGACAGACTTTGGATTGTGTAAAGAGTCAATTCACGACGGCACAGTCACCCACACTTTCTGCGGTACCATCGAATACATGCAAGTGGAGCAGTCCTTCAATCCCACTCACTTGCATGCAAATATGCCTCCTCACTCACTCCTTCCCCTCCTTCTTCTTCCACGCTTAGTATCGACTCATTTACGTTCATTCGTTAGTAACAGGTGTGCACTCGTGTTGTTGCAGGGCCCCAGAGATCTTGATGAGAAGCGGACACAACAGAGCAGTAGACTGGTGGAGTCTGGGCGCTCTGATGTACGACATGCTCACAGGAGCGGTCAGTTAAACTTTCACCACATAAAAAAAAAAAAACGTTCTACTGTTATAAAATATGAGTCATAATTTGGTAATGTTTGTGTAACCCTCCTTTCCTCTCTTTTCTCACTGTAGCCACCGTTCACTGGTGAAAACCGCAAAAAAACCATTGACAAGATCCTGAAGTGTAAGCTCAGCCTCCCACCCTACCTCACACAAGAAGCAAGAGATCTCCTGAAACGGGTATCTCCTGTTCGCTTCAAGCTTATACGACGCGTGTTTATCCAAAATAAGTGTGGCGTTGTTGTGTAAGCATTCTTTTGACACTTGACTGCTGCTTGTACAGTTGTTAAAGAGGAACGCCTCGTCGCGGCTGGGAGCGGCAGCAGGAGACGCCACAGAGGTGCAGGTGAGAATGAATATTATTACCTCTCATGACGTACTGGTAGTAACATACTGTTGTTTAACATCTCCCCGACGTAGAAGCTCAGTCTTATGGCCCTGTCTTTGTATTTGATGTCCCACAGGCTCATCCCTTCTTCAGACACACCAACTGGGAGGATCTACTGGCTCGGAAAGTGGAGCCCCCCTTCAAACCTTTCCTGGTGAGTATCAGAGGAGCATGGAGTTCTGAATTACATGTTGAAATTAGATCTCTGTGAGCTCGAGATGAGTTTTGTTTCCGGTTACCTGCCCAGGTTGAACCAGCTGATCGAGTGTTTGGTAATCAAACCCAGGTCGTCTCTTGTTCCAGACCTGCGTGTTGTTAGTTGACACATCTGCTCATGTTGCTGCACCTCCTCACCTCTTGTTTGTCGTCTCCTTCTATTTTGGCAGCAATCAGCTGAAGACGTGAGTCAGTTCGACTCGAAGTTCACCAGCCAGACGCCGGTCGACAGCCCGGACGACTCGACGCTCAGTGAAAGTGCCAATCAAGCCTTCCTGGTAACTTCTCTGACTGCGTGTTCACGTCTTTTGTTTGTTTCGTTCTGCCTCCGTACATTCGAGAATTATGACAAATGTTTAATAGGATAAAATGATGACATTTTAGACAGACATGGATGTAATCTGCCACATGAATATAATTCTAATTATCTTGTGAACACAAAAGAAAGAATGTTGAGAGCCTTTTTATTTTAATTTTAAATGAATTACTCACAAGCTTTTGGTAACAATTAAGTTCCATCTTAATTACTTCCATTTTACCTTAATTAATGTTAAAAAAAACACAATAAACATTCTTTAAACAGGCTTCTAGTTGATCAGTATTTTGCCCATAAAGTGAATTGCTTATGCGTGATACTCGCAGTGCGTCACAGAGCAGCACACACAACCAAATCAGTCAGGTGGAGCAACAAATATCAGATTGAAAGTCGCTGCATTGCTGATTGACGCTGCTGCTTCTGACTCGGTAATGAAAAGAGGCCTTCCTGCCCCTCAGATGTGAGCGCGCACCAACCGTATCTGTGTTTGTCTCTGATGTCTCTGTTCCTGTAGGGTTTCACATACGTTGCTCCGTCAGTCCTGGAAAACATCAAAGAGAGGTTCGCATTTGAGCCAAAAATCCGCTCACCTCGACGCATCGTGGGCAGCCCGAGAACACCTCTCAGGTATTTGGGCATGTCTGCAGCAGCCACTTGTACTGGTTGGCAAAATCAACCCCTTATTCCCACCCTGAGTCTTTGTTTAATTCCTGATATTTCTCACTAAGAGAAATATTGTTTACGTCGTGCTAACTGCACCCTTAACAGCAGCTTATTGAACATATGAGTTTTGGCTTTTTCAATCATGCGGACTAATTCGTTAAGACCAAAATGATAGCAGAATACACATGAAAACAGATCTTCCATGTTGCACATTGTTACAAATGCCTCTCGGTTACATCTGTCCCGTTTCCTTCCTCTCCGCTCTGTGCTTTCAGCCCAGTCAAGTTCTCAGGCGGGGAGTGCTGGGCCCGGAGCCCCCTTCTCCCTGGCGCAGGACCAAGTGTCCTCCAGTCACCTCAGGACCAGGCCATGGAGCTGTCCACCCCGGAGCAGATGGATGTCACAACCAGCTCCGAGGCCTCGGCCCCTCTTCCCATCCGTCAGCCTGCCGGGGTCAACCTGGGCCAGATGAAGCAGCAAGCCTATCCCAGCATGGCCAAGCGGCCCGAGCATTTACGTATGAACCTATGACCCACCGCGCCTCCGTAGGAAAGTTCATTTATTGACTCTTTTTTTAATTTAATTTTTTTTTTTTTAAGAAACAAAGCAAAAAGATATGGATGCTGGAGACGATTCAAATCCAAAATTGCACATCCGCACACTCCATATACTGTCACAACCTGGAGTTAGTGCGTGGGTCTGCGGCTCCGGCGTGCTGCAGTTGAGGCCTCGCCGCTTCTCCTCCGACACCTCAGGTCTCATGACCTGTGTCTTCTGAACTGGACTAGTAGGACTGGAAACCCCTTTCTTGAGGAGCCACAGCCTTTTTGTGCGACCTGGAAATCAAAAAGGCGACAACGTATCGCACAGTATGCAAGCTATTTACTCTAAAATGCCGTCAGTCTACTGTATAAGACGACGTCCAAAGTGCTTCGTGCTATTTGAATGAATGCCGGTGAGGCAAACTGCTTTCATTGGGAGATTTTGAAAGTTCTTCTCAGACAAAAAAAAAGTAAAAATGCTTCCTGGCTCTGAATGAAATGATATAAATTAGGTTAATTATTGAAAAAGAATTGAGCATTGTGAGCAGAGGTTCTGGTATTGATGAATATACACAATGGATGCATTAACTGTGCTTATACATCAATGATGAAACAAAGAGCCGAGATTCAAAAAGAGAGAAACCTTGACTTTTTACGTTCTTTCGGCATTAAAGGCGTATTTGATGTGGGAACCGTACTTTGATTCTCTGCTCTTAAGGCGTGCTACACTGCAGGACGAATCGCTGGATTAGTTGACACGTCAGACATAATTCAGCTTGATCACCGCGACCACCCGAAAATGTCTCACTGATCTGGGTGCTGCTTTGTGTGACCACAATCTGAGCGCTGACAGGACCGTCAGACCCCCGACTGACCCCCGGAGTGAGCTCATACTGGAGACTGTGGCACCAGTTGATCTGGATCCTCAGTTGTGGGGTTTGATGCTCAGAAAACTCGGGGCAACATTCACAGCGTCTGACATCAGCTCACTTGTTTAGGAGGGAAGTTTTAGAAACCCCGAAAAAGCAAGGAAAATTCTAATAAAATAAAAATAAAAAGTGTCTTTTTTTTTTTTTTTTTTTTTTTTTGTATGAAAGGAAAAACATCTGGAGACCTCACAAGTGCACATGTTTTTTTTTTTAATCACGTATAAGATTTGTTTGTCTCAACATTACATCCTGTGAACGTCAAAGATCCTCACAGCAGAGCATTAGAGAGCACTGCTGCGAGCTTATTTAAGTGTCTGACTTTACCATCACTCTGTGCTATCCTTTTACTTTACGATTGGGAATTTAGACTCATAAACTAAAGTTGTGCAAAGTAAAAATAATTTAAATAAAAGTTCAGTTAAAGGATTATGTGGGATAAATTAAAACTTCTTTCGCAGCTGAAATGCACCCAAAAGCCAATTTAGCAAATTAAAGTATCTGATCTGAAACTGATATAAAATATAAAAACAAATGCACATGTTGCTGAAATCAACAGTGTCACACAGTCTAATATGTTTGTCAAAGAAAATCAAAACAAATCCAGTGCCCTGATAATGAGAAAAGGCTTTCAGGAAGAAGTGTCATGAGAGCGATGTGCTGGTACAAATACAGGAGAGGGGCCCAATAAATGTCAAACGTCAGGCATGCAGTATGACTTTTAATTTGAATGCAGCGTCAGGGAGTTTTGTGCATTTCAGAGGAACCATTGGCCACAGAACTGCTACCTCAGCAATGTGAAACTATTTGACCTTTTACATGTAGTTCAAAAAGTCAGAATCAAATTATGCCAAATGAGTTGAAAATGAAGCTCTCCTGACATGAACCCTGATTGTGTGCTTCAATGCTTACATTTGACGTTTTTCAATGCTGGCTTTAGAGAAAAATACTGTAACATCCAGTTCTACGTACTATATGAAAACATAAACAGGACATGTGCGTATCACGTGTCTCTTCAAGGCTGCTGGTCCCGGATCTCAATTGGTTTTGGGGGCAAGAACTTCACCGTATGTATTTAATCACATACTTCTCAGGCTGGTGGTAACATCCCACTCTGCAGAACTTGGCTTTATGGATGTCAAAATGTCATAATTAGGACTCCTGTAATACATTGTTGCATTGATAGTTAGTATACAGCACATTGACCTTTTACATAAAATGTGTTTGAATAACAATGCATCTATTAAATGTTTGAGACTTACCTGCCTGAAAAAAATACATATTTTTTGAATTTTAGTTTTTTTGCTAATTAAAAATGCCCCACTGACAACCAAGAGGTCCGAAATGTTCAAATCCACACTGTCCAATAATGCCATTAAAGAATTGATTTGGTCCTATAAATAATACAACCGATCAGATTTAAGGAAAGTTTGGAAAAAGAAAAGAATGCTCCAAGAAAATGATCAATGGTCACTTGACCATTGATGATATCGGTAATAATGAGGAACGTGTGCTCAGCGTCATATTATGGAGTATGTTTTGTGTAATCTACCAAACCAGAAGACAGACTTTGAAACACCAAACAAGGCAAAAATCACTTAAGAGGAAGAAAATATATATATTTAAATAATGATTTAAAGAATCATTGGTTCAGATCTGAGTCCAGCAGCAATCAAAGATAATCTTCACACCGGGTTTAAACACTTCCATCTGTTTTTTTACCTTTAGTATCTGTTAATATAGATTCAATGGTGACTGGCCGGGAAGGTCAACAAGAGTCTGAAGTGCTAAGTTTACTTTTGAAGTTATTTTTCGCTCATATTTGGGCCAAAAGGTAAAAAACTGCAGAGAATAACTGAACGTGTACTTCCCACAAAGTAAACTCAGCTGGCAATGAAGGCAGGTAAAAACACACTAATAAAGTTATTTGAACATATTCTTTGAGCCAGCTCTTGTTTGGTTAAGCTGTTCCAAGCAGCAGAATATGGTTTCAAAATAAAAATGTAAAAACTTCTCAGCTAGTCTGACCGGTCGGTCCAGTTTTCAGGGCACCGTTACAGTACAGCACGAGTAACGATGAGGTGGACATTTACCTCTACAGAGACAATGGAGTCCTTCATCAGATTTGTGTACCTCGAGGTGACAGAGGTGAGAAAGTATGAGTGTTTTCTTGACGCAGCAACTCGAGCACGACCAGCTGGACTAAACGGACGAGAAGTGGAACAATAACACGTCCGCCGTTCAGCTGTTTTTTGGAGCAGAGTATGCGGAAGTGCAAGAGGAAAAAAAAGAAAAATGCACTGATGAAAGTGTCATCACCGACTAGCTCTGCACCTCCATGCAGCGGGCTTCTGTTCCTGCAGGTGCCTCATCTTCTTCCCCAACCACACCCACCAGGCTAAACCAATCACAACACACACCACCGACTCCACGTAGTAGCCGTCCAGCGTGGTCACACAAGCGCCGCCCTCCTTAACACACAGCTGGAGACACAACAGGGAGAAACGAATCAATATACCGAGTCAAGGTAGTTACATACTCCTGTGCAGGATTATTTCCCTCGCTGCTTACTCACCCCCGCCTCCTCTGGAGAGCCACAGCTCTGGCCGGCGGCCCCCTGACACTCCTTAGAGGTCAGGGGATCCACCATCCACAGAGCCAACGTGGAGGGCCAGTTCCCACCGAGGTTAGTGACTGTGTTCAGCAGGGTCATGTAGGTCCCGCCGATGAGGGGGTCGCTCACTTTGGCATGGAAGGCCATGCAAGCCACGTACATACTGTATAACGCCACCTGGGGAAGCAACATGGGAAACATTTGTTTATGCTGCTCAATAGTCAAACTTACCATGATATTTAACTTCATTCTTATCACATCAATTTTATATTTTTATCTGCTGTTTTAATGACCGGATGGCAAAAATCCAAGGTCCAGAAAAAGAATAATTGTATAATCAATAAAATGGTTTTTATATTCTATTGAAAGACAAATAGAAAGAAAGATGCAAACGCAACCTGCCTCACTAAAATATACCAGAAATGTAAAAAAAAAAAGAAAGAATAAGGGGACGACTATGTTTCTGTCCCTGATACTTTAGATGTTCTTCTGTTGCACAGTGACATCTGCGGGCAGAGACTGGAAATGAAATGAGGTTGGTGGGAGAAAAAGGAACTCATCTTAACACTCGTCTGCCTTTATACGCCTTTATACTTAAAAATAAGACCGTGACAAACATCTGTGCGTCTGCAACACATGTTTTGATCAACCTGCCATTCCAGCAGCACTGCAAGGCTGTGCTTTGAGCTAAATGCGAACATGTAACGTGTGCAATGCTTACCGTCTTTACCACGCTAGTTAATTTGCTACTTAACAATAAACACAAAGTACAGCTGAGGCTGATGGGAATCATTAGTTTTGCAGGTAATTGGTCATAAAACAATGTATTACACAAAATAGAATTTCAGAATTGACTCTCTAAGTTGTGGTCATTTTTAGCTCATTGCAGCCAGTTTCCATTCGCCATCTGACGAGCAGACTTAGACATACAGTACTGTTCATAATGTGCAGAGGGTCAGAAGCCCTTTCTAAGCAGCAGACTGTCACTATCTGCACACTGCTGACATCCTGTCACCTGGAAAAACTATGATAAGAGCTAGAAGCAGTAAAGGGAAGAAAAACAAGATATTAAAGAGAGTAACAGAAATACAAACCTGATGCAATGCGTAGCTAAACAGCACTATGGCGTAGTAGTAAACAGGGAACCCTCCTTCATGTTTAACACTGGGCGTCCACCACACCAGCAGAGCGTAACCCAGTCCTATGAGCAACCTGCAACCGCAAACAACAACACTCTGTCAGCTTTTAGTTTGTATGAATGGGTTTGTGAGTGTGTGTGTGTGTGTGTGTGTGTTACAACCTGAAAGGGAAGGCCTTGTAGAAGACGTCCAGCGGTCTAGGCCCTGCTGTGTATTTGCTGATGATCACAGGTAGTAGGATCTGCAGAGGCACCATGGGCACTGCCAGCAGTGCCAGCTGCTCCTTGGGAACTCCAGCCTCCACCAGCTTCAGGCCCGTCACTGCATCTGCTGCCGAGAATCCAATCTGAATAACAAAAAAAGAGAAGAAATAGAAATCTTCCATTCACATTGGATGTTTGTGTAAAGCAGCAAAGTGTCCGTAAGCAACACTTTCAAAGTCATGTTGTAAAAGTTGTTTCACGTAATGCTGAAGTACTTTAGCAGTGAGAAGCAGGGAACAAAAGGTGAAGACTGTGGGCATCTTGATGATAGAGAACAGCAGCTTGTAGGTCTCCATGACGCCCTGTGTTTCCTCGTGGACTCTCTGCTTTCCTTCGCCGTGATTATTTTCTTTTTTCATGATGGCCACCAGAGTCGTGGAAATCAGGAAAACAATTCCCCAAAAAAACAAGAACTCTGCAGCCGAAGAACAAAAGGCATTAGAAATGATTACACGTCACCCAAAATCACTGCTCTGTTGTAAGAGAACAACAACTCTGTGAGGTCAGGGATGAATAATACCCGACAAGGTGACGATGCCCGTGTCCTTGGGCTCTACTCTGAGGTACTTGTTGCAGAAGTCTGCAGACTCCAGAGCCAGAAAGAGCACATTCCCCAGGAAGTACCCAGCTGTCTGGCCCACAGAGTTGCATGTAGAAGCATATCCCACATTCTCCCTGGACAACATGGTCAGGGCCCAGCCATCCACAGCTATGTCCTTTGAAGCAGAGAAGGTACCGAAATTGGAGGACAGGAGGAAAACTAATCTAATTCAATGTATTTATCTTCCCGAATGTGCGTTTGTGTCACAGTGTTTGCGTCCGCCTACCTGTGTGGCTGCAAGGAAGGCAAGCATAAAGAAGACGGCAGTGAGTGTTACCACCTTCGGTCCTCCCTCACTTTGCATCAGTGAATTGACCGTCCCGGAAAGGTAGAGCATGAAGAGGCCCAGCAGGTACTGTGTGGGCACCAGCCATGACTTTCTGAAAACCAGGAATAATATACACATTGTAGGGGGAAAATATAATCCTCCACGCAGATAAAAACATTAACATAACAGTACGCATGTGTCCTTCTTACCTTCTCCCAAAACTGCTGAAGTAGAGAGCGTCCACCAGCGGTGCCCAAAAAAGTTTGAGACTAAATGGCCAGAAGACAAAGCTGAAGAAGGCTTGGTCTTTGTAGCTGATGCTCTTACTCTGTAAGATCAGAGGGATGCTACCAGCCAGTCCCAGAGGAATCCCTTGCAGCACGTATAGGAACAGAAGGAGCAAAACGTTCCCCAACTCGTCACGGATCCCGGGCCGGACTCTCCTGTGCCTCCGGTCCACAGAGGACAACACTTTGATAAGACCCTCCGCTTCCTCTTCTACTTTGGGTTCAGAGCAGCTCGTCTCTCCCATGTCCATGCCCCTGATGTTTTCGGATAAGAAGGTGGTACCCACGATCTTCCTCTGCCGCCCGTTCTTGTGCGTCATCAAATCTGAGTGCTCCATGTTGGAACAGTGGGCGTCAAACCAGCTGTGCCCTCAGCGAATCTGCAAAAAAAAAAAAAGAATAGAGGGGACTAGTTCAGCAGCTGAATGACTGCATGTCTGCCGTGAATATTTCCAATCATTTGAATCCCATTAAGATTGTTGTCGTTGTTTGAAAGGCATAGCCAAAACAGCAACGGTACAGAACTCCACAGGCAGAAAAAGCTGTTCATAGCGAGAGTAAAGATACAATAAAGAAATGGAATAGAGTAGAATGCAAACATTCAGTGAACTACAAGCAGGGACGCACTGATCATGCTTGAACAAAAGCAGTCAGTAAACTGGTCAAGTGAGTTTCTGACTGATTAGAATAATACAAAGCAGACTCGCATCATACGTACAGTGTATACAGTGTATGTACACTTCAAATGACGAGATAAAAGAACATATACGGGCAGAAATCTGTGCAAAAGGAAGAAAAAATAAATAGTGTCAAGTCATTATTGGGGTGAAAGGTGAAGGAGACACTTCCAGAGGCTAACAAATAGATCCAGGATTAGGTTGGTTAGAAATAAGAAGTTATCGAGCTTTTGTATTTCATACTGTATAGTACAGTACAAGGAAAATGTTCACGGCTGTTTCCTGCTGTCACCTAAAAATCACAAGATGTTAACTTACGTTAGCCTAAACGTAAACTATTAAAAGCAATAGTTTCTAGTACACATACAGACGTAGAAAGGACATGCGCGAGATGAAAAGGTAAAAGGTAAATCACACAAGCAGTACATTAATTCACGTGTACCTGATGATGATAGCAGCATGCCACACAGATAATGCCAGATTGGGAAAGAGATTGAACACAAACGGCTGAATTACAGAGCAAATCAACGGGAGGCCGATTTTATTCTATGTTCATGCAAATAGCGAGTTTGCGGCATCCTAATAAATGGCAAGAAACACGAGAAAATCACTACCGTTTCAGTCAAGACAGGTCAGTTACATCAATACACTCTCAAGAGAAATATCCAGGAAGTGCGGTATGTGCGACGTCTAAATGGGTCCGGCACCTACAGATGACGTGTCAAAGACGAACGGAAAGGAGTTCCGTTTCAGTGCTAATGCCAGTACTGTATGTCATGTAGGGGAAGGAAAAGAAATTCAAAGAAGTGCACTCTTAAGCCCTAATCGTAAAACTCGAGCCCGGAATTACTTTAAAATATATTCTCACAAACTCAGGTGTCACACACACACATACACACACACACACACCACTGACTGGTGATGATCCTTTAGTAGAGGCTGCTTCCTCAGAGGTTGGAAATATCACACCAATAATAACATCAGTTCCACAAAACGCCAAATTAACCAACATCATTAAAGCATACAATCACAGAGTCGGGAAACTTTAAGGAAATACTGTCGGTTGTCCTTTCATTGGCATGTTGTGTTACATTCACATACAATTAAAACAAAGACATGGCATTTAAAACGCCAAGCAAACCAGGAAACAAGAGACCCTTCAAGTCTTAGCATCATCATCAACTATAAGAGCAAGGCAGACAAATGGTAAGTTGATCAGTTTGCAAGTCTTTAATCGGGTTGCATATTAATTAGTCTACACTAGTCGCAGTATCACTTTATAATAGGACTAGACGACATTAATTCATTCATTGTGAAGCCCATAGCATTTTAAAAAAATCATTATCATTTAAAGTCTATCACACTAATAATGTATTGAGGATGTATTATTATTATTATTGTTATTATTATTATTATTATGAGTAGTTATGCACAATTTTGTTTTCTAAATTAACACAAAAAAGACACGTTTTTCCAGGAATGATGACTGATTGAACCGAAATCACACTCAAACATTCTCCTCCATCAAAAGATCTTCTGGTGATGGTCATGATGCATCCACCCCATTTAAATTAGAGGTAATGAATAACCGCACGCTCTGCCTTGTGGTTGCTGTGAGTGCATGTGAAGCTGCTTATCCACACCGATGGCATGTGACAACATACAGGCATATTTGGGTGGATCAGCATGTGACAAAAGGAGCCCTGGGAAGTTTTAAACCATGTGAGAGGGTGTCAATCTACCATAACGTGTCCTGATATAAGAAAATAATGCACTCGTCATCAGAACGGAGTACATTATTGTACTTACACCACGGTCACTAACCACAGAAGAGAGGCTTGTAGATATGAGCTTTGTCAAAACAGACATGGTGCATGATATTCCTAAAATAAATGACAAAAAGCAGAAGGTCAACAGGGACCCACAGATCAGTTCTGCCTTTTAGATTAATCCAACCATGTTCCTGGTTTAACCAGTGATAGTTCACTGAGGAGGAAGTGCTTTAATGGTTAGTGTTCTTTGTGCACTGGAGTGGAGGCTATAGTTTGACTGGTTATAGATTGACACCTACCAGCCAATCAGAAATGTGTATTAATCATGGCCATGGTAACAATTATGTATTTTTCATTACATTTTCCACAGGATGGCGCTGATATTACATCACCTCTGCATATCAGAGCCCAGTGGTTCTCAACCTCTGGTTATGTGCCTTCAGATGTTTTAATATCCCATCACGGGCGTGTTTATTGAATGTTTGTTTTTAACCCTAAACCTGCGATTCATATGAACAACTCTTTATTAATTATCTTGTGATCTGCAAGAACTGTGGTTCCCAGACCTTTTCTGTCAGACTCCTTTGAAATGTAGGAAAAAGACAAATGAGAACCAAGCACTTAATCTTACAGCAAACATTTTGAGTTGTCGTAGCAGGTAATACACTGATGGAACTAATAACATTAATGTAGGCTCTGTTCCAGCAATTATCCAAATGATATGCCACAATTAATAATGCAATTAGATGCAACAGCAAGTGCCTCGTACAAATGCCTGCTTTGAGAGAAGTCTATTCAACAGTGTAGTTATATTGACACATTTTACCCTGGTGAAAACCACTGCCTTACTACTTCTGAAACTACTTTCTTTAAGACACTATCATACCTAAAAATTTTTTTAAGGATCTAGTAATGACAAACTTGTTGGCACAAAGTTGACTTTGACATCTGCCTATTTGACACTTGTGTTTTTGCTGTGACGTTCCTCTTTAGCTTTCAGTGAAGCGGGTTGAACAATTCTGACAGAATGTAATAAACTTTATGTCGAGAAAATATGGATACTGAAACTACATTATTATTAGATAAATAAAGAAATAAATGTCAGTGGCAGACACAAAAGCCACATATGAACAATGAGCCTGGAGGTAACTTATGTTGTAATATATTGTCTGAAAAAGAAATGGCAAGAAGAAAGGTTGTGGAACATATAGTAGATAGAGTATGTGTTAAAGTACAGGTGGTTCCTACTTGCTGCCTCTGCCTGACGAGACTGAAGCATGAGGCGCTGTAGACTCATTGTGCTTGCTGGCAATGTCGCAAATACGTGTGCAAGACTGTTTTATGCGGATGTTGATACTACTACTAATTAAGTAATTCAATAGTCAGATATTTAATTCACTGAATAAGCCAAAAACAGAATTTACCATCTTTTTTTTTTTAATCTGCAGACGTTTTCCATAAAATTGTGTATATTATGATAAATATTGATACTGCAGTATAAAACAAATCATAGCGTGTGTGGGACAAGTTGTTTATCCACACCACTGTGCCCCTGTCCTAGCCCACAGTTTTATCTTAGAAAAACCTAGATATGTCAGTATTGTATGGTGGATCAGGACAAATTCCTAAATTGTTAAAAAATCTAATTGTCTTGCTTTGGATACCTCTGCGGTTCGGGATTGGCAAATATCCTGGGAGATCTGGACACCTCTGTGAAATGTACTATTACATTGCTATAAACTCCATCTCATATTCTATATAAACATACAAAAATTAAGCACCCAATTGCTGCCACTATCATAACATGGTCAGTCACATTCTACTATGCTGTCTAAGCCCAGCCCTCTTCGGGGCCACACTGTTATTTACTCTCACTCCACCCCATGATGCATGGCACGTTTATTTAGTCTTCAGTTCCCGCTGTGAAAGTTATTCCCAGCCGGAGTGTAGGAGTCTGTGTGACAGCCCATCTTCAACCCAATCTGCTTTTGAAACAGTAGTCGGCGTGCTGAGCCAGGAGTGAACCAATAGCCCCCCTCTCTCTCTCTCTCTCTCTCTCTCTCTCTCTCTCTCTCTCTCTCTGTCTCTGTGTGAGAGACCTGGACACCGAGAGGAGAGCTCATTCCACCACACCACAGTCCTCCATGGCTGTGTGCAACGGAGACAGCAAGGTCAGTGGTGCGGGGAGAACACTTGGGTTGACCGGTTGCCTAGTGTTAGGACCCTGTTTGCCGGTGTAGTCCCCCCCCGGTTAATTACGGCCTGTGTGGGGGGAAAGTTAGAGAGCATTCAGCGTTATCACCAGTTCCGCTGAGGAGCTCTGAGTACCACTGTTGCCTGTTGCCGTATTACATTAACATGCTGCTCATAGCCGCTAGCCGCACAGGATATCTCTATTACGATTAGCATCTTACACATTTAAACTCTAGCCGTGGCTGCCTTTCTCCTTATTCGTGGATCCCTCCCAGGACCCTTTGCCTCCAAAGCACCGCGTGGGTTTTAGCATAGCTCCGCTAACTTAGCCAGCAGGACGTGCTGCTAACAGGCTAATGGTGATTGCTACTGTTTACACTGTCCGTGACCTAGCATGCTACATCGGCACTGTGTTAGCTAGCTCTAGCCGGGGCAGTCAGTATGTTGTAACGATAGTACTACTAACCGACAGTCATGCAGTATGACTGTTATATGCTTTTCATTTTGGGAAGTGGCATTGAACAGTAATTTATTTCCCTCGGCTGCTGTCACACACTTTAAGCTAACGGGACGTTAACTGACAGGTTTTGCTAACGTCGTCACGGAGCTAGTATGAGCCAACTTGCGGTTAACACTACCTCTCTGACAACAGGAGCCACTACTGCTGTGTTATCCGCTCATTTGGTAAAGTTTTGGTAGATTTGTTTCTGTGTCGTGATTATACTTTTAGAGCTGCTGACGATATGTTTTAACAATAATACGGCAACTGAAACGGAAAGGTAACAAGTCTGAGGTGATACGGTAACGTTAGCATGCCTGATGAAAGTTGTTTTTAGAAACATCTACGGGCGGAAGTGTTTCAACAAACTACGTGGGATCATGTTTCTCTTCTTGCCGTCCTTATCATCGACTATCATTAGCTATCAGCGATCTGACATCTCTCTAGTTCTTGTGCTGAAAATTGTTTCCCAAACTTCGATCTGCGCATATGTTTATAAAAACAATCCAGACTGGGAAGTTGTGTCAAAGTGAAACGGTACACCTTGCTCCCAGATAGTCTTTGACTAACTTGTGGGTTTCATGTGATTCTCCTGATGGGCTGAATGGATACACCATGTTTCACGAGAGTGACTGTCTGTCTTGTATTGAAAGCTCACATGTCCATAATTGTGTTAGGCTTCATTGAGTCACATTTTTCCACGGGGGATGTCTGAAGTGGAGCCCAATTAAGTCGTGGAGGAGTGGGTTACCTTACACCACCGAACTGTTAAGGACAGCATTAAGGCTCGTCAAAATTATTCAGTAAATACTCGTGTGCACGAGCGACTATGTATATACGTTTCTGCCCTGCTCGGCTCAACACAAGCACTTAAAATCAAGACTGGGGTTTTTCTGTCCACAGCTGGAGATCAGCAGCGCAGAGCAGAATGGATCCTGCGAGGGGGCGGTGGCGATTCTGGATGCTGGGGCCCAGTATGGCAAGGTGATTGACAGACGGGTGCGGGAGATGTGCGTACGCTCTGAGATCCTCCCTTTAGAGACCCCGGCCTTCGCCATCAGAGAGCAGGGCTACAGGTGAGCATGAGAAGCATTTCAACCACATCATTGTTATTACATTATTCTGTCATTATGGAAGTGTTTTATTATGCATTTTGCCTTTTATTGTTTCCCTTCTTAGGGCAATCATCATTTCCGGAGGTCCAGCTTCTGTGTAT